TTATGAAATGGGCCGTCAATGGTTGGTTTGAGAATCTTTTGGACAATGTTGTTATCGCTCACCACAATGAAACGACGAGATCCAAAGTAAATATCGCATAGATCACCATATTTAACGTGAATATCTCTCATATCATAAGAGAAATTTTTAACAATTTGATGAATATTACCAATGAGTGGAAGTGGGAATGGACCAGGAAGTGGATTCTCTCGTGTGAAATATTTGTAATAATAATATGAAGTATAGACTATTATGACAATTAATAATATCTTTAATGTTTTGTAGAAAAAATTAATAGCGAATAACTGGGAAAAAAGTTGAGAAAGCAAATGGAAAAACATCTTGAAAAGCGATTATGGGGAAAAAATCGCATCCAACGTATATATATAACACTTAATCATTTTAGGATAGAGGGGATCAGTTACTTTACAGTAATGGGTTCGGAATGCATTAATTTGAATAAATTGATTTTCCAGACATGAAAAAAAACCAAAATTATATTATATATATATGCATCTTATTATACGATATTCCAAATTAACGATTCGGAAATCCTATTATATAATATAACGAGGCAAATTAGCATCCTATAATATAATGCAATTTATCCAAATACAGTACCTATCTTATTTTTTTTCGCTATTCACAATCGTCGATTAAATGATCGTGTATCACATCACGCGTTTTCTTTAACGACCTATTAATTAACTGGTCACGGCAAACCCGTGCGCTTCGTGTCACTCGTCATGTTTTTGCTCGAACTTTTCAGCATAAGTCTTACTTTCGGCAAATTCGATAAAAAAATATATACCCCTCATTTGCGAGAAGAGCGCCTGATATTTGAATGGAACAAAAATGGAAAGTATAATGGATTATTCATTGGAATAAATAACGTTACATCTAAATAGTCATATTAATTGATGATCATAAACATACTTTTGTATCTTACCATTTACTGCTGGACTATCTTTGTCAGTTGAACACTATCAATATTAGACTTAATACTTTTTTTTTTTCATACAACATAATAAATTGTTTCACCTCTTATCGAAGGAAAGATTAGAAGTTTCATCTTATAGCCTAAATAAATTCGGATATTTAATTAATTAATTAGATTAATATGTATCGAAAATCTGAAATCTGAAAGTACTATCGTAATGCTATAGACCTATAAGTCATGAATTTTATTAATTTATTATTAAGAAATTTAAATAAAATTACTTTTTTAAAAAAAATTCGTAATTATATAACATATAGTGTAGAACAAAAATAATATATTAAAATAATTTGAATTAAATCATAATTAAAACGAAATGATAATTTAAAATTATTGATTTTATATTATAACATAATAATAATAATAATAATAATAATCAATTGTTAAATTATTTCAATATTTAAAGTGATTAATTATAGATTAATATAGCCTATTAATATTTTTCTTTAAAATAATATTAAATTACTTCTTTATAATAAATAATTTTTAATAATAAAAAGACATTAAACATTATAATTCATATATTAAATTTATTATAAGTCAATAATATTTTAATACTATTTCAGTATTAATTTAAAATTTTAATTAAATTAGATTAATATTGTCATATCTTATTTCTATTTCAGAAGAATGATAAAACCAAAAAATTAATAGCAAAAGATATTTTATTTGAAAGAACCAAATGTAATATACTAAAGTTTCTAAGGATATACAAATTAATACAATTTTAAGATTTAGAAGATTAAGCAAAAAAACAATAATAATTTGTTTTATAAAGATCAAAATATTTATTCAATAAAAATAAAAGTTCAACATTATCAATTTTTAAATAAAATTGAAGACTTTATATATATATTTGAAATATAATATTTTTATATATAATAAATATAAGTTATATAGATTAATAAAGATATAAAAAAAATGTTATATTCCTTAGAACAGTTATTTATATATGTTAGTATAAAAATAAATACTTTGATAAAGATAAGAAAGTAAAAATAAATAAATAAAATAAATAATATTCTAAAGCAACGATAATATAAAAAACATAATATTAAACAATAATTGAGACAATAATATAAAAATTATTTCAAAATAATAATATTTCAAAAATAAATATTGATAAAAATTAAATAAGAGATAATAAATATTTTAAGTAAAAATTAAGTATAACAATATGTTATCCAATTATTAATATAAAAATTATTTTAGAAATATAAATATTACAAAAATAAATACTAATAAAATCAAATAAGAGAGTAAAAATTTTAAATAAAAATCAAATATAACAATAGTGACTTTATATAATATAAAATATCTAAACAATATATTTAAAAATATTTAAAAAATAAAAAAAAAGCTTGAAAAAAATTAAATAAAATTTCAAAAATTGAATAGTTATTTTTTGAAATTTTGAAGAATATATACTATATATATATATAGTTTAATAGGATATATATTTTTGTTTTTAATTTTATAGATAAAGTTTTTTTTATATTAATTTATAGAAATACAAGAAACCTATTTTTTAAAAAAAAAAACAAGTAAAAAAAAACTAAAGTTTTTAAATAATATTATTATTAAAAAAAACATATAAATTTTATTATAAAGAAATATAAAATTTTTTTAAATATCTGTTTTTTTTTTTAATTGTAAAAAAATTTAATAAAGAAAATTATTATTACTATTATTATTATATTTAAATTTAAATTTATTTATTGTTTTTCTCAAATTATATAATTTGACATATTATTATTTAAACAATATATTAAGTTTAAAATTTCTTTTCCAATATAATTAAATAATTATTGTATTTTAATAAACTAATATTTAATTTAATTTGTTTAAATATTAAAAAGATATTTATATTTTATATATTATATATGATAATAAAAAATTAATATTTTAAAAAATATATTATAAAAAATATAAAAAAAATAAAATTAAAAAAATAAATAAAACTTATAAACTGAATTAGCTTTTAATTTATAAAAAAAATTTTTTTTGAATAATATATTGAGAACAATAAATTAATAAATAGTTTAACTTCAAAAATATATTTTTTTAAAATATAAAAAAAATAACTTTTAAGAAAAAATAAAATAACTGAAATATTTTTTGTTATATTTGTTTTATTAAAATTAAACTTAATAAATTTTCTTTAAAAAATTTTTTATTATTTATTTTAATCAAAGAGATTTGAAATTTTGCAGATTAATTTTAAAATAATTTGCAAAAAAATCTCAAAATCTGATTGACACTCAAAATTATTAATATAGAGAATTTGATAATATTTTATCGATCAAATACTTCAAATAAAATTTAAAATTAACAATAGAAATATATTTTTACAAGCATATTTTTTCAAAATCCCTTCAACTTTACATAGTAGTTTTTTATTAATTTGTATTTAAAGTTTACACCTTCCTTTACAATAAATACAAAAGTAACTGTCAAAAACTTATATTGTTTATTTGAGTCTCTTATCAATAAATATAACAAAAGTCAATTAGCAAGATGTGAAACTAAACAGAGTCAAAAATGGCAATGTGCATCAGCTAATGCTGCAGTAAAGAAAATAATAGAAATGGCTAAGTATTTTTCTAAACTATCTGTATTACTTGACTCATTAGAAAATTGCTCTTTGTATAAAAGACATTATAACCAAATTGACATTAAAAAGTCTTTTATTAAGTGAGTTATAAAACAGATAACCTAATCTCTTTGGATTCAGAAGAAAAAGAGAAAAAAAAATCAAGACTCTCTAATAATAATGATTTGCTAATATTTGAAAAAATATTTTCTGACTTTGATGTACAAGTATCTTTGCTGAATCCAGCATATAAAACTCTTATGAAATGGATATAAGAGCTGGAAGATGTCAATTAGTATTTATTATCTGAGAATGCAGCATTAAAAAAGCAATTAGATGAAATATTTAATAATCAGCAAGGTCATATTTGGTCTGTGACAGAAATTACTAAAAGAAAACATAATAATTTGTTCAAATGATATAATAAGTATGATAAAAAATCATGAATAATTTGGTTTAGATAGTCTTTTGTTATATTCTCCTTTAAAATGACTTGCAAAGTAAAATTTAATAATTGTGAGATTTATCAAAATGCTTACCCATAATAAATCTGAAAATCAAAATGAAGGGAAGAAGCTTTTTAAGTGTGCCATAGCTGTTGATGCTATATATGGATCAAGGCATCTGAAATACATATGTATCTGCTATTAATTTGGCCACTTCAGCTATCAAATATTCATTAGCAAGATCACGAATGGTTATTGACATTGATAATTACATTATAAGTTCTGATTGTTATAAGAAGTTTATTAACTAGTTAGAAAGTTGGATTATAGAATAGCCAAAGCTTCTCAAAGATCTTTTATTTTTAGCTTTTAACAATAAATAGAAAAGTCAGAAAAATTACTTAGATTGTAAATATAATATAGTCATATTCCATACTGTTACGAGTTTTGTCACCTTTAATTATGATCAATATGACAATGTTCAAAATACAGATCCTTGGTTATATTCTGAACTTCCTGAAAGCAAATACAAAGAAATATTATTTTTAAATCAAGATATAGAAAATGACATTAATAAAAAACTCATTAATTATCTTAATATTATTTTAGAAGAGCTTTGTATAGAGAAAAATAAAGAAAAAAATGCAATTGATAAATTAATATGTCATTAAAGCCAAATTGAATCTATAAAAAAATACCTAGCTTGTCAATTGTCTAACATCAATAATAAGAAGCAAGTCTATCCCATATGTCATAATAAATTACAAACAATTGCTGAGATAAATCAATTGAATAAGTCAACTGACATTACAAATGCTGCTAAAAAATCTGTTATCTATTCTCATATGTTTGAAAACATACAATTATATTTAGAAAGTACAGTTTATGTATTACAAGTATACATTTCTAATCCAATAGCAATAAATTTAAACTCGACTACCAATATTTGAAAAGTTGTCAAACATATTGAAGAATTATTTAGCATTAAAAATAGTAGCTGCAAATGGATTATAGTAATCTGTGATGGAGTATTATACCATCATGCACAAATAATTAAAAAAGACTTTTCCTGGCTTATATTAATTCTGAGTACTTTTTATAAAAAAATAAATATGCTTAAAGTATTTATTGAATTGAATTGAGATATTAAGATAAGATATTTTGCTTAATGTCAGGGTTATTGAACTGAGAGTCAATTGCAGTTTTTTAAAAAATGTTTAATCATTATAAATCATAGGATTTGATATGCAATATATATAGGCATGCAATGGCTTCTAAATTAATGTGGCCATATGTTATTGCTAAAAAAAATCCTTTTGTCAAAGGCTACTTAAACTGGGTTTAAAATTAAACTAATCCAATATTTAGGTTAAAATATAAACAAGTCTTTTTTTATTTACAAGCAATTATTAATTTTTGTACTGGAGTTCATTTCAATAAGCCTTTATTAAAACTTGCAGATAGACAAATATTTGTACCAATTTGATTACTCAATGCCATTTGATTTACTGATTGATTAAAATTGCTGATAAAGAACAAAGATTATGATTAAAGCCTGAAATTTATGATCTGATTCAAAAAAAGATTATGATGTCTCAATTTAAACTCTCAAATCAACATCAAGATCATAATGCAATATTAGAAAAAATAAACAAAACACTCAAATTATTAATTCCTTCTACATCTTTACTATATTATTGGAAAATTGTTATACATAACTATATCAAATTTAAAAAATTGTATACTAATCTTTTTAAAGTAATAGGATATTTTGAAAGTTATATAGGTCTTGTACACATCCTAATTTTATTGCTGAATTAACTTGGTTTTGGGCTTAGATAAGAGAAATATAATTTGTAAACTCAAATATTTCTAATCATATTTTTTATGATATCAGTGGCAAATTGATATTAAGTGAAGAGATGAAAAGTTTTAGTGAAATTGCATGAATGAAAAGAACAAAATTTATTAAAGTAAGGCAAATTAAGAAAATATTATTAGGCACTTGACAATTAATTTTAATAATAAGTAAAGAAACAGATTATCAGAAAAATAAAAATCAGTTAACAAAATCGTAACTATTATTCCTTATTAATTCTTTAACACTTTTTTTGAGTGATTTACAATAATTACGTTTTTGAGTCTCATAAAGTTAATTTCATGATAATTTAATAAATATCCTTTAAGAAGTTAGAAGTATATTGTTTGAAAACATTGTTAATGTTAATATAGAAGAATGATAATTGAAAAAGTTGAAATATATGTTTAATTATATACATTGTTAAAACTTTTTCTAATGTTCTACAAAGATTTTCAAAACTTTCTAAAAATTTTTTTACCATCATAAAAAGAATGATCTACATTTATAAATTGAAGAATTTTTTGATTATATTTGTATATAGTCAAACCTGGATATAACGAAGCATTTGGGTTAATTAATAAAAGTTGAAAAAAATTATTTAAAAATTCATTATAAAGAATTTTTAAAAATTTATATAATAAAATTCTCTTTTTATAATAAATTTTGAATAAATTTAAAATTCAAAAATTTGTTATAATCAGTATTTTATTATAGCTTCATTATAAACAGGTTCATTATATCTAGGCTTAATTGTATTTTTTGATATTTTATTATTGCTTTTTTCTATTTTATATAATTGATATTATATAAAGAAATAATATATTGTTTTTTTAAAGTTTTTATTTATTATTATTTTTTTAAAATTTTTATTTATTATTATTTTTTAACAATACTTAAATTTATTTTAATTATTTTATTACAATTCAAATTTTATTAAAAAATTGAATTTAATTTATATTTGACAAAAATTTTTATTATTTATATTATGATAATATCTAAATATAATTATAATAACAAAATCAATACAATATAACAACTTATTAAATTAAAAAAATATAAAATTAATATTTTGCACAAGTTTCAGTAAGAATATCAAAATTATATTTAAACTAAAAATCTATTACATCATTTTTTTAAATCATTAAATTTTATATTGTAAATATAATTTTAATATATAATAATATATTGAAAAAATCCATATAACCAAATTTGTTACATTATATATGGCTTATATGACAATAACATTTATTAGAGTTTCAAACAGATATTAAAATACTATTGAAATAGTATTAATCTAAAAATATTTTAAAATATATTGTTTTAATTAAATTATAACAACCAAACAAATTATTTATAATAATTTTGATTTAGCAGTTTGTAAAATAAAAACAAAATTAATTTAAAAATAATCTTTAGTAAATTTTAATTAAATAACTTAATTGATTTTTTAATTAAAGAAATTTATGAAAATTTATATTAAATCAAAATTTAAAATTTTTTTAAAAATTGTTTTTATAAAATATAAAATAAAATAATTTTTATAAAATTAATTTACACATAAAAAACTTTTTGATAATTTTTTATTAAGCTAATAATTTTTTTTTTAATTTTACAAGTAATTTTTTTTTAAAAAAATTTTATACAGTAAAAATCATTTTTTCAACTACAATTGATATACAAATATATATATATAATTTTATAAAAATTTTTAATTAAACACTTTTTAATTTTAAAATAAATAAATGGTTACAGTGGATCATGACAATAATAAAAGAATTTTTTAATTATATACAGTATATCATATATGATTTTAAAATATTGTATATAAAATATAAATTATATCGATATCTAGGCTTTTAATAATATTTAATAAGTATGTTACGATTTAATTAAACATGGCAAATGTATTGCACGTTGTTTTTTTAGAGATAAATTATTTTCTTTAAGGTTGCTGCTACAATCGGGATGCCAGTACTCACGTATAACGCATAAAATTATAAAATTTACAGTCAAAATCAGCACAAACAAGATAAATAAATAAAATAAAATTTGTTGAATCATATTATAATTGGGTAAATTCAAGTTTACATAATAAATACAAAGAGCATAAATTAAAAAAACGAAGTTCTATATGCAATGGCTTCATATGTAGGATTAATAATTTAACATTATAAGTCGGTGGATTAATTCTTTTGGCAAACCAAAACCAGCATGAAAAATTTGCACGTTATAATGAAAAAGCCAAATGTCACTAAATTAGATATTACTTGATGGACTAAACATTACATGCACTATTAGATATCAAACCTTGATTAAATCAATCTAATACACCTTTTATGCATTGAGATTCATTGAAATAATACCGTGGAGATTTCCACAAACAAAATGGGACAGTAAGTTTACTACTCGTAAACGGCGAAATTTCGGTTATCAAAGTTTCAAGCGCAACGAGTAGTTGTTCATGACGTATTTTCAACACGTTTTTTTTTTTTTGAACAATAATTACAGTACATCATAGTTCGGCCGTTTTTACGCAATCATTGACCACTAAAAAGATGTAAGCTTTGTATAATGGTCGTCTTTTTAGGTTTTAAATTACACAATGTCTAAAAATAAACTTTGATAATGGTACAATAATCATGCGCATCTTTCGGCGTTTGGAGTCCTCTTCAAAGTTAAGAAATGGGGATGTTACACGGTTATGATGGGCTTGGCCTTTTTAAGTTCTACATTCTGCAATTTTTAACAAATTTATTGAATGACCATATTAAGAAATTGAATGATAGTCTCACAGACTGCATTTGTATTTTTGGCTTTTTTAAATGTAAGGGTTTATTCGGAGAACTGGTTTTTTTTTTGTTTGTAAATTAACGTCTTTGATCAAATCGTTGACATGTTGAACAAGTCAGCTCTTTCCTAAATAACAATTCATAGATTTGTTTATGCGTGATGTTCAATAAGTAACAAATCAATGACGATGTGTTGTGCTTTAATGCGTAGGATTAAATTTGGATGTGTGAAATTGAAGATTGGAAGAAGTTTGTTATGCCTTTCTTTTGTAAATTAGATTTTTACCAAAAAGCGAGTTCACAATAACCTTACCCATCCAATTACGCATCTTATGCTGCTTATGTAATGCGCCAATGCATGGCTTGTTTGCGTCACGTATCAATTATTTCTTTATATTCTAATGCGACCGACTTTATGTAAGGGAAAATATGTAATCGGTTTGCATCATTGTGCTCTTTGACTTACGGTCAGAGTGATGACACTTAACGTGAATTTTGGACAGTGCTTATTATGCTCATTGGTCTTCTAAATACACCGCGCAACTTTGGGCGAAGGAAATTCTGAAACAAGCAAATACACCCCACGTCAAGTTGTTGATTCCCTTCGTACATTGCATGAAACAATTCATTCCCCGACTAGATAAGTTGGCATCGACAACGAAATCTCAGGTCAGATAAGTGATCTTACCGTTGCCTTGCATTCAATGGTTTCCTTTTTTGTACGTATTCTGTCCTCTTGCTGTAAAATGATTATCTCTTTTTTCCTCTTGAGGGGTTGCTCTGACTTGAATTAAATGGTGAAATTTAAAACAACTAATTCTTATCCTGCATTTTCTCGCCTCAACACATACGAAATCATTTAAGGGAAGCTCGATTGCTTAAGAAACATCATAAAAGACACGTGAGCACTTGTCAATACGAACGTCAATAAAATCAAAATGTGTTAATGAATTAATCTAATAGCGAAATGATGACGACTTGTCAACATCGATTTCCAAAGCATTAAGAACGACAATGGTAACTTAAAAAGGAATAAAGTACTGTATATGAGAAAAGTGGGTTACATAAGGAATGCACGAAGGAAAACCAAAAACCAAAATGGTGATCAGTGGTCCGTAAGACAGATTGGGATTGATTGTACGAGCGCCATTGAAGAACAATGATTAATGTATAGAAATTAGCTATCTGGGAAAGTCGTGTCCAAAAGAAATCTTAATGAACTTTAGTTCCTTTCACCTCCCTCACACAACATATACCTGCGTGCTTTATTAAAATTATCATGTTCGTGTGTCAACAAAAGAATTCGACCTTTGATATGTTAAAAAGATACTATTTCTGATGACTAAAAATATTAAGTTATTAATAGGCGCCGAATCTTTACGAAATTGTCATTAGTTGACGGGATCGTGTATTGTTGAACCAGGTTTTTCTTTTGTTGATTGGTTGTGGAAATGCGTGAACTTGGTTTTATGCGCCGTTCGTGTAAGGGACGTGGAGACCTGGTGGGTAAATTTTTTGGGGTGAAATTTCTGGGTCAAATTTGGGTTGTTCTGAGAGAAATAAAAAGCAGTCGTGAGTCGCGCTTGTTAGGATGAAGTTTTTGACTTCATTGACCCGTCATAAATATTATATATGTCTTGTCGTAGAATCTAAAATTTGATAGAAAATTAGACATGTCAACATATCATCCTAGAGCTATGAAGTTTTTAGTATTGTTCCTGTTGGGTCTGGTGTGGAATGCCTCGTGCGCAACGATCGCGCCCACGAGGCCAGGTTCCGATGTTCTAGAAGGAAGTTATATTATTACAGCCGATGGTGGATCGGATTATGTCCGCAAACAGTGCGATGATAACAAAATTGAATACACTTTTCGACAAGATTTGAACATCATCTCCGGTGTCTCGGTAACTCTTAAAGATAACGAGGATATTCATAAAATTTCGAAATTTACGGGTGTAAAAGAAGTCTTTCATAATGTACGTCTCATTAGTTCCTCCGTGATTTCTTTTGATTTCGAGTTCATGCATTCCTGCTCATCCATATCTATTCATTTAAACTTTAAAGCATATGGTTATGCGTCCAAGGGTCGCTTTCGCGGACGACATGACCGGCGTTTCGACTGCCCAAACTGAACTTAAATTGGACGGTAGTGGCATCAAAGTATGTATCGGGTTAATTCCGAACCTTTTTTTTTTTTTCCTTTCAGCAATCAACATTATAACTTTTTTTTTTTTTTAACAACTAATTAAAAGATTGGAATTATTGACAATGGTGTGGATTTTACGCATCCTGCGCTCGGTGGCTGTTTTGGTCCCGGGTGCAAAATTGCATTTGGATTTGATCTAGTTGGAACTGGCACTATATCAAACCCACAACCCGGACCTACTCCTTTCGAGACATGTGACGGTCACGGTACGCATATTACGGGAATCATCGGTGCCGAGGATCACGTGAAAAATTTCACGGGAGTTGCTCCCAAAGGTGCGTGTGAATAGTTGTGTCATTGAAATTTTTCGCGATAGATTGATTAATCCTTCGACATCGAATATATAGCGACACTTGGAATGTATCGAATCAACGATTGTAATGGACCCACCACAGATGATCTTATTCTCAAAGCACTGGAATTGGCTGACAAAGATCAAGTGGACATCATCAATCTTTCCCTCGGAGACGATTTCAAATCGTGGTCAGAACCTCCGCTGAGTACCGCGGTCTCGGCGTTAGCAGACAAAGGGATAGTTATGATTGTTGCTGCGACCAATGATGGTGCATCCGGTATTTTTTCCTCGGGGAGTCCTGACTCCGGAATAAACGTGATAACTGTTGGTTCCGTCGAAAATCAAAAATTTTATGTGTTCTACTTGATCCCAAGCACCGACTCCGGAAGAAAAATAAGTAAGTTTTAAAAATATTTGGAATCTTCAGTTTTCCAGATTCATTTAGCCCATTTTTTTGACTAACCCTCTTTCCAATTATCGATATTTATAGTCTACACGACTACTCAATCTACGCTCATCTATGGGCTCCAGACAACTGCTCCTGTCAAAATAGATCTTTCGACCGATCAGGTTGCACCAGTAAATGACGCTTGCGCTCCCCTCACAAAAAACCTTAAAGGTGTGATTGCTTTAATACGCCGTGGCGGGTGTACTTTTGCGCAAAAAAATTTTAACGCGCAAGCAGCCGGGGCCGTAGGTGTAATATTTTATAATAATGATCAAACACAACCTTTTCCCTTAAGCGTTCCGGGAACCACCATTCCAAGTGCTATCATCAGTCTTGAGGACGGAAACTATCTTGTGAATCAGATCTTAAATAATAAAAAAAAAGTGACCGTCACTTTCCCAAATTCTACAATTATTGTTCCCAATCAAATTGCTGGGCAACCGTCGAATGATTCTGCATGGGGCCCAACCTATGAGATGGATCTGAAACCTGATTTCTTGGCTCCGGGTGGTCGTATCTTGAGTACTTTTCCTGTTGCTTTGGGTTCTTACGCAACTTTATCAGGTAATTACAGTAAATGACCACGCATTTTTTTGAAACCCGTTTCGTTTGTAAATTAATGAATGAAATAAATGATATTCCATGACAATAGGTTCATCACAAGCTGCTGCTTACGCGTCCGGTGTTTCCGCACTTTACTTACAAGCTAAAGGAAAAACCGATCCTAAGAAACTTCGCGATATCTTGCAAACCACTGCAAAGCCGGTCGAAATGAGAGACCTCCAAGGAAATGACCTCGGCATGCTTCACTCGACAGGCAAACAAGGAGGAGGGGTGGTTAACATCTTTGATGCTGTCTCGTCGAACACTTTAATCTCTCCCGGAAAATTTGCTCTCAACGATTCCGTGCATGCCAAAAATACTCAAACCTTTACGATTACCAACACCGGGAAAACCACTGTCAAATATAACATTGATCATTTGCCGGCTGCTTCCGTACTCGGATTTTTCGATGGGGTATTGGTTCCTCAGACGTCATTGCAATTTAACAAATATTTCTCCACGGTGAAGTTTTCACGGGCGTCGGTCACCTTGCGACCAAGCCAGTCGGAGAAAATCACGGTGACCATAAACCCGCCTAGTCAATTGAGCCCGAGTGATTTAGGTTTATTTTCTGGATTCATACAAGTCAAGGACACTTCGTCGAATAAATATTTCACAATACCTTATCTTGGACTGAAAGGAGACATTCGTGATATACCAGTCTTGAGTCCACAACCTGACCAACCTTTTGTTGCTAAATTCAACGGATCAAACCCACAACAACTTACAAGTCAAAGTGCTGTTTACACTTTTGCCCAAAATACCACGGGCAATTCAGATTCTCCTTCGTTGTTTTATGTTTTGGGTTTTGGTACTCGAGAAATCATAATAGACTGCGTGGATGCAAACACGAACAAGAAGATCGGAATCGTGTTTCAGACGTTCTTCGAGGGAAGAAATGGTATAACCGATCCCTTTACTCAACACATTTTTGATTGGTTTGGTCAAATAGTTTTGGAAGGATCGACGCAAGAAACGTTTATACCGAATGGATCCTATCGACTTATTTTAAGGATCTTAAAGACTTATGGAGATCCCACGAAAAATAATGATTTTGCGACTTATACATCACCGGAAATAATCGTTGCCGTACCCGGTCAATAGACATTTATTAGATTAATATTTTTTTTAGTACTTAATTTCTGATCATCTTTGTAAATACAGTACCTTTGAATCTGGGATTCAATATTTTTCTTCCTCTACATGTTTTTAAATTACTTTATTTTACGACCAAAGTTTCATATTATAATTTTTTTATTTCGTTGCAGTTTATCTCAGAGATACATTTTCATTCGAGATGCTGGGAAAATATTTCGGTCTTACTTTATCTGTGATAAAGAGTGATCATTTCATTTTGAGATTGTATATTTAAACGAGAAAATTCTTAATAAAAACTTAAATGTGCGATATTTGGGATTATGTGATGAAAAAGAAGTCGTGTTGTTGAAAATTAATCCGACTTTCGAAAAACAATGATATCCATAAACAGTATTAGGATAGAGACTCTTTTATGTATCGAAATGATCGAAATCTTTTTCAGACCGTATAATGGCAATAATACTTGTGTATACCGTGTTATAATCACTTTTCAAGTTTATGCTCTAGTCTATTTCGCGACCATTTGTTTAACATATTTAAACTAAATGTTTCATGCAAGACAGTATATTATTTCTCATGGTGGTCGGATAATAATCCAGTCTTCTTTTTGCTTTACAAACTCCTGACTAAATTGCCGACCATGTTCTATTTATTTATTGTTTTATTTGTTTTCTTTTAGTGAAAAAAGCATTGTCTCGATCATCTTATAATTTATAATCAGCATTGTGACTTTATACTGTATAACATATACGTTACTTTGTTTTAGTTCGCACAAGTCTTTCAATTCGATAATTATTTTGCTATTTAGCAATTAAAATTCATTTCAAGAATTTATCTTATAATTATTAAAATACACACAGTACACTATTTTGCTTTTTCATTCCCATCACATATATCTATATTTTACAAAATGATTATTATTTTTACAAATTTTCTATCTAATTTTTATTTAAATAAATGTTGACAAAATTTTATGTTGTATGTTATATGTTTATCAATTAGAGATTGTTCTAGGTGTTTTGAATTTTGTATGAATGGTTTTGTTTTGAAAAATTACATGTGGTGTTTTTTATTGTTTATACATCATATACAGTATATGTATAAAACATACATACACCATAATATATACATATTCTTTCAAATATTAATATATCGTAGGTTTTATTATATAGTTGAAAAGAAATTTACTCTCGAAAGAAGAAAACAGAGATAAATAAATAAGGTTTTTGACACTGTATTGAAGTGTAAATGAACTTATTAAAAAAAGCTGTTACAGTAAATTAATACTGCATATCGTTTCATTGAAGACTTTAAGGTTCTGTTGGATATTCTACTTGGAAGATTCATCTGTATGATTTTAATGCATCGAATCTTTGGACGATTCGAATTTATTGTTACACTTATTAATTTAGAAGTTACGGTTCTTGGATCCAAAATAATTACTTTTAAAATTAATGTAGATGAAAATCTTACCTAATTACTTTCTTCGAGTAGACTAATAGATAACTTAATCTTTTCTCGGCTTATTTTTTTTAAATCAGAAATTAACTGATCCGCTCTTGGGAAAAATTATATATAATGGACTAAACTCGTTGCTTTTGGAAACGTGTCTGTCTGAATTGGTGAATCCAAAAAATAAATAAACACTATTATCAAACTTATTATTTTTTAACTCGAGTTTAACTATATACAGTACAATAAATAATTTGATTATTTCTAACGACGTTCGGTATGAGTTCACACGGATCAAGATGCGTAAGTTGTAATGAAAAGAGGATTCTTAAACATGGGAATGGAGATTTGTGCACGAATTGTTATTCTGCAAGATTTCACTACGTAAACAGTGGAAATCGCGATATTGATGATTTGATAAAGGCAACGCACAAGAATAACCCTAAATTTAGGTTAGAGTGGATTCCATTTGAAGATTTCACAGATGTCCAACGAATTGGAGAAGGTGGATTTGGTCATGTATTTACGGCCATGTGGACAAAAGGAAAAATAGAAAGTTGGAATAGTGTGAGTGAAGAATTTAATCGAGCAAGTCCTGAAACTGTCGCTCTAAAGATGCTTAAGAATTCCAAAGAAATTAACACAGAATTCTTGAACGAGGTAACAGAAATTTTGATTAAATCTGACCGGCAGTATATTCTTTAAAATTTTTTTTAAAACGGGTTTTGTTCTTTATTAGTTGAAACCCATTATTCAAACACAACCAAAATCCCCAAATCGATATCTTGTTCAGTGTTATGGGGTGTCGCAAAATCCAAGAACAAATGATTATATATTTGTTATATCTTATATGCAACATGGAAGTTTGCACGAGTATTTATCTAAGCATTTTAATGACATTAAATGGATAGACTGGGAAGAAAACGGAAAATCCAAATTAAATTTACTTAAAACGCTCGTTATGGGCATTAAGTGGATTCATCAAAATAACATTGTACATCGTGACATACATAGTGGAAATATTTTGATACGTTCGAATAATGATTCATTAATTGCCGATTTGGGACTTAGTCGACCACCTAATGAAGACCCAATTAATGGTATATATGGAATTATGCCATATATCGCGCCCGAGATATTTGACAAAAAACCATTTTCGTTTAATTCCGATATCTATAGTCTAGGGATGGTAATGTGGGAACTCACGACAGGATATCGTCCCTTTGAAGATCGTCCATATGATGGAAGTCTTGCATCAGATATTTGTCAAGGATTGCGCCCCAAAATTACGGAAGATACACCCGAATTATGGGCGGCGTTAATGAAAAGATGTTGGGATCAGAATCCTTCACGGAGACCGTCGATTGATGAAATATATAAAGAAATAAGTTCTCCTGATTGGGAATTTAATGAAATATTTTACGATGCAGAAAAAAAATCGCGGGAAATTCAATCCAAGAGATTCGCAGAAGAGTCAAGATTTATACATCCTCATTCAACATCATTTAGTCAATCATTGAGTTGTATTACAGAATCTATAAGTAATTCTTTATATTCATTGAAAACTACGGAATCAACAGGTGACTACTATTTTCTTATTATACTTTACGATATTGATTCTAATTTGGCATTCTTCTTCTTTTTAAAGATCTTCACTCCACGATTTCTTTCGATTTGATGATAGACACGTAGGCATATGCTCTATTAAATAATTAAACAAAAAGCTTATGATTGTTACTGATTTGATTTATTGCGCACATAGCCCCCAAAATATTGTTAAAAACGAAGAAAATTCATGTTCTTTGTTAAAACACCTCATTGAGTTAGATGTAGCAGCTTACGGTATATTTATATTAAATTTTTAATGAGATATACTTGTGATTAGGCTTATTTGTAGCTTTATCTACAGATGAAACGAAACGGAGAAAATTAACTAAGAATTGTCATGATGAATTTATATCATATAATGGTAACCATTTCATTCATTTTTATCCATTTATAATCATCCTTTATAAATAATCACAATTAATAATATTAATTATTTAGCACATACCTTTCCGGACAATGTTTCCAACTTGATCAATGATTTTAGTAGCAATACCCTAGAAAATTCGGACCAAAATATTGAAGAAATGACAGTTCAACATCTAAACTTGGTGCAAAATTTGCCATCGATTACTCCTGATATAGAAAGTATATTAGAAAATGTTTTGTGCGAGGATGCTACTCTTGCCGATTTAGATTTGCATAATAAAAATTTAGGCGATAAGGCAACGAAAGGACTAGCAGTAGCTTTATGCAGAAACAATGTTCTTTGTAAATTGAACCTAGAGGGCAATAATTTAAGTATTCTTGCAGGAAAAGTATTGGCATACACTTTATCCAAAAACAACACCCTGACAAGTCTGAACCTTTACAATAATAAACTGGGTGATTCGACAGCAAAATTACTAGCTGAGGCTCTTTGCAAAAATTTCACATTAACCGATTTGAATTTGGGTAAGAATGGACTAGGTAGTTCAGCAGTGAAAGCATTGGCCGAGACTCTATGCAAGAACACCACTCTGACTAACTTAAATATAAGTGATAACAAACTCAAAGATTCGGGAGTAAAAGCATTGGCAAAAGCTCTATGCGAGAATAATACCTTGACTAATTTGAGTTTGGAAAACATTAGATTAGAAGATTCAGAGGCAAAGACACTGGTAGAAGCTCTGCGCATGAATTCTACCTTGACACACTTGAATCTTAGCGAAAATATACTAGGCAATTCTGCAGCTAAAGCATTAGCAGAAACTCTGTGTATGAATTCTACCTTGACACACTTGAATCTTAGGGGAAATAGATTAGGCGATTCTGCAGCTAAAGCATTAGCAGAGACTCTTTGTAAGAATACCACCCTAACTAATCTAAATATAGGTTCAAATATGATAGGGGATTATGGAGGAAGGGAGCTGGCTGGTGGTTTATATAATAATAATAGTCTGATCATCTTAAATCTTGGTAGAAATAAAATAGGTGATTCAGCGGGAAAGGCACTGATCGAGGCTTTATGCATGAATAACACGCTGACAGATTTAAACCTTGTTGACAATAAACTAGGTGATTTGACAGGAAAAGCACTTGCTGAAGCTCTATACAAGAATACTACCTTGGATAATTTAGACTTGACGTACAACATGATAGGAGAATTAGCAGGAATAAAATTAGCTAATGCTCTATGCAAAAGCACCTCCTTGACTAAATTGAGTCTTAGAACGACCAATTTAGGTAATTCAACAGGAAAAGCTTTGGCTGAAGCTTTACGTAAAAATAATACCTTAATGTCATTGGATCTTTATAATAATAAACTAGGTGATTCAGCAGTAAGTTTACTGGCCGAGGCTCTATACGAGAATACTAGCCTGAACAGTTTGAATTTGGGCCAATGTGATATAGGAGATTCTGCAGGAAGAGCATTGACCGAAACTTTATATAGGAATACTAATCTAACTGAGTTAGATATAAGTTATAATAAACTAGGAGATTCGAAAGGGGAGGAACTGGTCAAGGCTCTATGTAGAAATACCACCTTAACTAAGTTAAATATGAATAGTAATGAACTGAGAGGTTCGACAGGGGAGGCACTGGCCAAGGCTCTATGTAGGAATACTACCCTAACTAAGTTATATATAGGTTATAATAGACTAGGAGATTCGGCAGGGAAGGCACTGGCCAAGGCTCTGTGCAAAAATACTACCCTAACCGCTTTGAATTTGAAATCTAATCAAATTGGCAGTATGGCAGGAAGTGCATTATCTGAAGCCTTATGCAAAAACACTACTTTAGTCTATTTAGATTTAGGGAATAATTATATAAGAGATTCCGAAATTAAGGAATTATCTAAAGCCTTACGCAGGAATACTGTCTTAGTTAACTTGAATTTGAAAGGTAATAATTTAAGCAATTCAGCAAAAAAAATATTACACGATTCTTGGTGCAAAATAGAACTTTAACAAAATCCTAAAGTTTACAATTGCAAAATTTCAAAAACTCAATTAAAAATTATATATTGATTAAATAAATAATTTTAAAATAGCATTTAATTATTTTTTACTATCTAATTAATCAATAAAATTTTTATATTTATTTTTCATATATAAAAAACGAATCATAAGTAAAATTGCCTTTGGATTTCCGACTAAATTACATTACTATATGATACCAGACCCTTGTTATTTTGAATCTTGCAAAAAAATATTATACGCCATTTACTCTATGATTGCATTTGTAAGAATTTTAAGTTTCTTTTTTATTAAAATTTTTGGAATTTTGTTTTTGGATAGGACATTATATGATATATTATGTCGATAATATTATATATTTATAAGAAAGTTCAAAGATCTTTGTTTTGCATTTTAGTTTTCTTTAAGAATTATATTGATTTTTTTATACTTTTTTCTAAAAGTCCTGTAAAATTGAATTATTTAGCTATTTTTTTTTCTTGAAAATTAATAAAAATTTGTTTATAATTATTTTTATAAAACATTTTTGATTTTTGAACTGGTTTCGTTGTTGAAATTTGTAATCTAGTCTTATTTTTTGAAATTGATAAATATTATTTTGCTTTTAAAATTTGAAACTGGATTTGTCAAAAATCAAATATGATAAAAATTTGTAAGAATAAAAATTTTATTAAAGACTTTTAGATATAAACAAGAAAATTTTATGATTATAAGATTCTAAGCTACTTTATTAAAAAATTAAAAGAACATTATTATCATCATTATTAATTTAATTTAATTCTTTTAATATTTTTTTATTTTCAAAAATCAATTAATATATATATATATATATTATTAAAACAATATAATTGTATTAATAAAACAATAAACATCAATTCTGTTAATGTTATTATATTGAAAAAATGTAAAATCAATATTTTATACGGGTTCTAATAATACAGTATAATTAATTGTTATTAATATTGAACATTTTTTTTGGTTAATAAAATACAATAAAAAGATTGTATTTTTTTATTTTATAATAAAAAATAAAAATAAAAAAATTTTTAATAGATAAAAATTTTTAGAATATATTTATTATAAGCAAATATATGTTATAATAATCTGATTTGCTATTATTATTATTATTATGAATTTCATATATTTTTATTTACAAAAAATTAATTGTAAAAATCAATTAACAATTAATAAAAACAAAATTTAAAATCTATTTTTAAAAAAAAAATTAAAATATACAAATTCAAGAAATTGAAAAACTTGAAAAAAATTATTGTTATTTTTATAATTTGTTATTTTGAATATCGTGTCAAGTTTACAAATAAATATTCTAATTATTATAATTATTTATTATTTTTTTGACGTTACAAATTTGAAAAATTAAATTATAATTGAAAAAAAAAAAGAAAAAATTTTTAATTATTAATTATATGATGATAAAATTTTTAAATATAATATAATATAATATATTTGATATTAAGTTTTTATTGTTTGAAGAGAAATAATTAATGATAGTAATTTGAAATAATTATCTTGTTAATTCAATTAATAAAACTGTTTGAAATAACAAATTATACTGCAATAATAATTTTTAAATTTAAAAAATTTTTTTTTATTTTTATAACTTTTTTAATTTATGTTTTTTGTATTATAATTGGTGATTATATAAATAATTATACAATGTATATATAAATAAATAATTTTTTTTTTGAATTTTCAAATAATGTATTACAAATATATACTTTACAAATAATTATTTCAAAATTATATAAATTTGCTAAATTAATATTCTTTTTGCAACCTTGTAATACTTATTTAACAATATAATAGTTTTGAGTAATAAACAATTTTAAAAATTCTTGCTACATACCATATATAATTTATATAATTACAAATAATTTTTTTTTTAATAAATTCAAATTTTAAAATCAATTAATTATTTTTGTATAGTATTACAAGAACAAATATAAAATTTAACAAATTTTAAGAAAAAAAATAAAAAATCAATAATATTAAATTCATAGATATGTAATTTAATATATAGCAATTATAATTATGAGTTAAATTAAAATCGATAAGATAGAATATCATGCATTATTTAAAATATTTAATAATTATAAATATTTTAAATTTCAACATATAAAATATTAAATAAAAATCGACAATAAATATTTATTTGAAATAAGCATAACAAAAAAGATACACCATATTATACGTAATAAGTTGTTAAAACACAAATTGTCGTTCAGAGATTATGCACTTTAGTCATTGTTTTAGATTTGTGCAAACAGAATACTGTATTCAGTAATTATTATTTCGTTTACGCACATTTGCGAGTGTTTTTTATAACGAATTATAAATATTGATATTAATAACAACTCCAAAACCCATTTTGTAATAATATGCAATACTTTTAATTGTTTTCAAAAATGCATAAGTAAAAACTTATAATTTATTGACAACATAGTTATATTGAGTTTCGTTTATTGCTCAAATCAATTCCGAATAATTTTGAAAAGGTGTGCATAAAATATGTATTTACAGATTATATATTTCCAATTTTTAATTAAAATAAAAAAGAAAAAATCGAGTTCAAATCTTTCCATCATCAATTCTGCCAATGCACCTGTACGGATGATATGAAGTGATAAAGGTGACAGTGTTTCTATCTACCAGCATAGTTCAATAAAGAATAGGCTAATATTAAAATACCTATCCAAGGCTAATCCTGACTTTTCTAATGCACTATAAAAACCCACCTTTAAGTTCTGATCAAGAAGTAAATATGATGTAATAAATAGTATGTAATAGTTAAAAAAAAAAAAGAAGCCAGTGATTTAAAAACGAAAACCATCAGGAACAATGCTGTTCGGTTTTTAAATAATTGAAGTCAGTTTGTATTTATTGCAGCTTAATGACGTACATGATTCACTAAAGTAGGCCCCATATTTAAAACTTAATAAAGTTCTCATTAATCGCAAGTCTATTAACATATCATTTAGAAATGACAAGTGAACACATAGAATCAAGTGGTTCGCGACCAATGGAAAGTAATTCCTTTCCTAACTCACAAATAAATAGCATCGACGTAGAAAATGATAAACAAAATCAATATTTTGATAAGGAGAAAATAATGAATGATGAAGCTCGAGGTTCCTCAAACGATATAGAAAATGTAGATTTAATGGAAGACATCGTATCTACACCAATCACTCAACCAAAATGCCTTATAGATTCTTCATCTAACAGTGATTCACTGCATCAACATCAACCAACTTCTTCAAGATCCTTTTATGAGACACGTGATTCAACTCCTTCGTGGGGAGTGAGGTCTCAATCAAATTTTTCATTAAATCGACACCAGTTAACGGATAAAGAAAGTAGAGAGGATGTGAGTCACGGAGTGACACAGGAAAATGATGTACAGTCTGAAGATAAAGAGCATTCAACAGTGGTGGACGATGAGATTGGAGATGAAATCGTTGAAAAGGTAGACGAAAAAATTGAATTTTCAAATTATTTTCTAACATATACAATTTCTTTAGGTTATCATGGCGGTTAATCATAGGAAACGTAAATTGGGATGTGCCTATTACAATGTCTCCACTTCGATACTATATCTAATGGAAGATATGGAAGCATCTCAACCAAATGATATTGTCAATTTATGTGAGTAATTATTATGTAAAATTTGAATGTTATTTGCTAAACTCACGCTTGACTATATGCATAAAGTGCTGTATCAAATTATGCCATCTGTGATAATTGTAAGCTCGCGCGCAGATGAAAGCTTTATTCAAATATTGCAATCTCAAGGTAAGAGATAACTTGGATGACAAGATTAATTTTCTTCTAATTAGCTTCTCATTGCAACCATAAACAGATGATACAAATACAGTTCAATGCGAAGTGGAAATTCGTCCAGGCGTTGAATTTGTCCATGCTTCTGCAAAAACAAAGCTTTGTTCTATTCGTTTGGGAAGCCAACAATCAGAAGCAAATAGACAAGATATTTACTTACAATTATCAAGTATTGTAAACATGGAGAGCGTTGAAACAGTTAATTCTTTTTATCAAATCGAATATATTATGATATATAGATGTATATGAAACAAGAATTGAATACTTAGTTATTTCTTAACATGTAGGTTTGCTGTGCTGGAGCGTTAATAAGTTACATCTCAAGGGGTAATTCAACGATAGACGGATTGCAGGACAGTCATCAATTCATGGAGGTTCTTGGTATAGAGCAATTCTCGTTGTAAGTCCTTTGACAAATAACATTATGGTTAAATTACAGCATTTACAAAACTCTAAAGCTTTTTAAAAATAGATCTCAATTTATGCATGTTAATGGAGATACGTTATGGTATCATCGCATCGTTATTATTACGTCGTCCTTTTTAATACGTATGATGTATATTAACTCTTTTTTCTTATTTGCATAAAGTTCATTGCAAATATTCGAGGACGAGTCACATCCAAATATGCATATGCAGGCTAGATCAAAAGAAGGCTTATCCCTCTTTGGTGTGAATTTTGATCGCACTTTTAAGTTGCTATTCATGATAGTTAAATGATTAAATGCAACATAGGAATTCTTAATAATACGCGTACTTCCACCGGAAAACAACTCCTCAAACAATGGTTTCTTCGACCTACACTTGACCTCTCGATACTTGATGAAAGATTTCATACCATAGAGTGCTTTCTACAACCGTATAATTTGGACGTATCAGATCAGTTGATATCCAGCCTGAAACATATTAAAAACATTCCAAAGATCATTGGAAGGATGAAAGGAAAATTAAATGTAAAAGATTGGCAATCTTTGTTGCAGGTGAATTAACATATTTTTCCGTAATTAATTAATTAATTAATTAATTAATATAAGTAATAAATTTATTTTCGCTTTGATAGTTTGCATTTTATTGCCTAAAGATTAGAAATCTCGTCAAAGAATTGCGATTTGACGATGATATTAAAATCTTTACTAGGGTTTGTGAATCATTATTTACATCTTGTCATTATCCCATACCTAATCGCTATTGATATATTTATCAGATAAAAGAAGAGTTTATTGTTACTGACTTAAAGGATCTTGGCTCATACATAAATGATGTGGTAACTGATCTTTTTATTTATTAGAGATTAGAGATTAAATCAATTTGCGTTGTATACATACAATACTTAACGTTCTGGTTTTAAGATTGATTTCGATGAAAGTGTCAAAGAGAATCGAATTGTGATCAAGCCTCATGTAGATGAGGTGCTTACTTATATATTATTTCATTATTGCGTCTTTGACTTCTTTATTCAATTTAAAAACTTGACGAAAATCCCAGGAACTGGATCACATGAAACGGACTTACGACGGATTAGATGATTTCTTGGTTTCGTGCATCAACATTATTCTGTATTTTCGTCCTTTTAAATAATTCATCAAAATAACGTTTTTTTAGTCCGAAGTCGCTCGCGAGATCAGTGCAATCATTCCAACCGAATTCGCATCCACCCTGAATGTTATCTATTTCCCTCAGTTGGGGTATCTCATCACTGTTCCGTTAAAACCAGAATGGAAGGTGGAAAAAGACTTTCAAATCGACGGTTTGTATTATCAGGTATGCATATGGTTTTATTATTTACTATTTTTACGCAAATGCATATTAATAAATGCAATTTCGTGTGCAAACTATGTGTTCAGTTCAGTACGGCTACAACTGTGTATTATAAAAATGACAGGATGCGAGGTAAACGACGTTCATTAGTATTTTTGTACGCTCTTAACTTCCATATAAATAATTTGACTTAATAGAATTAGACGAATATTTGGGTGACATTCATGGACTTATCGTTGGTACGAGTATAGTGTTTAAAGCTTTCCTCGATTTTTTTCTAAATGTCTCCCTGACTTTTTAAAGATCGTGAGATAGAAATGGTGCAGAAACTGCAGGATCGCGCTTTAGAATATGTTCCATTGTTACTCACATCCAGTGCAATTTGTTCCGAACTTGACTGGTCAGTTTCTTGATTTATTTTAGAGTTAATGCATCAACATATCGCTCATTTACCTAGTTGCAATGTAAAGTCTTCTCTCTCTGTCAGAATCGGCAAGACGCTATAGGTATTGCCGACCCTTTATAACTGACGCAAATATCTTGAAAATTGAAAAGGGAAGGTATAAAAAAGTCCATTCGTAATTTTTTATAACACAATCCATTAATTCTATATTAATAAATTTTATCTACTCCTGAACTGAAGGCATCCTTTGCAAGAACTTTGTATTGATGTATTCGTAGAAAATGATACAAATCTCGCTGGCGGTCTAGGGGTCCGTGACGATGATATTTGTGAAGACTCAGTTGAAAATTCAAAATCTCTTAGAATGGATGACGACCACGACTCCTATAACAGCATAATGTTATTGAGTGGTGCTAATTATTCGGGAAAGAGTGTATATTTGAAGCAGGTTGCATTAATTACATATATGGCACACATTGGAAGGTAATCTACAAATTCTCATACAATAATTTTGTCGCCTAAGATTAATTATACATTTTTTTTTGATAGTTTTGTACCAGCAAAATCGGCCACGATAGGCTTAACGGACAAAATTTTCACTCGAGTACAGACTAGGGAAACGATTTCTAGGGTATGTCACATTCTATATATGGTTCACTCGTTTTATCTTCTAACTCATTTATATTAATAAAAGATCCAAAGTGCATTCATGATTGATCTCCAACAAATATCAATTGCACTTCGTAATTCAACGTCGAGATCGTTATTGATTTTTGATGAATTTGGAAAAGGAACAGGCTCAACGGGTACAGGTTCAACCTATTAATGTTATAATCGCTACACTCATGAAATTTATCGTTCGTTTTTCTGCCCAACACCAAACAACTAGATGGTGCTGGCTTATTTTGTGGCGTCATGGAGCATCTACTAAAACGAGGAAAAAACTGTCCAAAAGTGATAGCGGCGACTCATTTCCATGGTTTCGATCATTTTAATTTAAAAATGGATACCAATTATTTCTAATATTGTACTAACCGTACCGGCTTTGTATGTTTCGCAAATAAGAAATATTTGAGAATAACATTCTTTCCGATCGTCTTCCAATATCACTGGTCACTATGGAAATTGTGAGGAATGATGACGACGAAGAATTGACATTTCTTTACCGGTAATTTCATCTGATAGTTATCATAGTAGAAATCTCCTCAATTAAAACAAGCGAAAATTTGAAACAGCCTTGTACCAGGTCGAAGTATTTCTTCTTGGGGAACTTTTTGTGCTTCGATTGCCGGAGTTCCACCTGGTATTGTTCAAAGAGGTATTGACCAATAAATCGCTCTTCAAATGGAACTATTAAATAATCCAATGTAAGAATATAAAAAATAAGCGTTGATATTTTTATTTCATGAAAAGCTACGCATCTGTCGCAACTTTTCTCTCGATATGAATCAATTCCACCGCCACTCGATGACGATCAAGAACGTCGTGTTTACGCGACTTGTGAACAAGTTGCGAGGAAATTTTTAGAATTAGATCTGGAGAAAAGAGAAACTGATGTCAGTAAGTTCTTGGAATGGGTGAGCCGAGAATGCGGTTGAATATGTTTCTCCATAGTAACTACTACTATTGCGTTTCTTTCATTTGTAATGATATCATATAATGTAAGCTGAAATTTGAAGAGTAGAATACAGTATATGCAATCAATATTCATAAATAGTTATAGTTTATTGAAGTACGCTAAGTTTAATGCTGACATGTAAAATATAAGCTTCGTAACTTTGTCACTGTGTTTTTTACCTGAATATCACGTGCATAATTATATGACTTTGGCTTCATATATTCGGAATTGCAAGGACACAACAACTATGTCGTAATTCTATGATTAATTTAATATACTCTTGACGTAAAATAGATTTTCTCCTGTTGTCGAATGAGTTGCTGCTGACAAATACTTTAAATACCGAAATATTAATCTAAAAGAACTCGAAAATATTTCAATCTGAAATTTGTCTTTTGGAACAAATCAACTAAAGAAAAATGAATCATCGGGGAATAAGATCCGAAAACTCTATATCATCGCCCGAAAACGATCCCTATTATGGGAGTGAACGCGAGAATTCGAGTTATGAAAACTTTGAGCCTGAATGCTACGAAACACAAACTGATGACGGTGAATGGATTTGAGAAATTTTCTAAAGAAGTTTCTTCGGATTACTTATCTTTGTGCTTTTTTTTTAAAGATGAGCAGCAAGTGAAATATAATTCTCTGAGTCAAGGCGAATTCCGGTATGAACAAATGAGGTACAATCCAAATCCTGCGGATCAATTTGACGAAGAAGCTGTTGATCTCACGCAAGAAGAGTGTTGGACGGTCGTTTCTTCGTTCTTTGAAAAACGTGGCATTGTCCGCCAACAAACTGATTCGTTCGATGACTTTATACAATCTGGTCTGCAAGAAGTCATTGAGCAAAACAGAGAAGTGGTTTTGACCCATATGGAGGACGTGGACAACATGGGAAACCAGATATGCGTGAGTATTTACGTTTTCACCAGCCCCGTACTACGAGACGTTACTAATATTCGATCTTTCAGAAACGGATAAGAATAGAATTTGGTCAATTACTTTTTGGAAAACCAACCATTACCGAATCTGATGGATCAACGATGAGATTATATCCTCAAGAAGCACGCCTTAGAAATCTTACGTGAGTGATCTCTGATGTTATGCTAATGATCGACTTTAACCTCAATTAATAATTTTCATAGCTACGCTTCTCCACTTTTCCTCAAGACACGGATTGGAGTAGCATACGCCCGGGTGGATGATCTTAATTATAACAAAACATGCGATGATCGGGAAGAGTTCTTACCATGGAAGGATGTTTTTATTGGAAAGGTATAACGTATACATACCCTAATATATCATTCGTGCCTGAACTAATATTTACTCTTTATAATAGATTCCTATAATGGTGAAATCTTCGTACTGTTCGTTATTTTCTCTGGACGAAGATCAATTGGCCGATGTTAATGAATGTCCTTATGACCAGGTCGTCAAATCTTATCATTCCGATAGAACACTAAGATGATGATTTTTTATGTACTAATATTTTAACTTACATAGGGTGGTTATTTCATTATAAATGGTTCGGAAAAGGTCTTGATTGCTCAAGAGAGGCTAGCAAATAACATGATACTTGTATTCAAAACACCGCTACCATCTCCTTATGCCTACACCGCGGAAATAAAAAGCTCGGCCGAGAAAGGATTGGTTATTAGAACCTTTACTCTCAAACTACTAGCAAAAACATGGGAATCAGAGGTTTGTATCTAAATGAAATTGTAAACTTTGAATTATTTCTCTTATATCCATTTATGCAAATAGGACTCGGAACAGTATATCCATGCCAGTATGCCTTTTGTCAAAAAGGACATTCCATTAAAGGTCTTGTTTGTTGCTCTTGGAGTTTCCAGTGAACAAGACATTTTACAACTCACTGGAGCCAGTCCAGGAGATAGTGAATTTACAGAAGCCATAAAACCGTGTCTGAGAGAAGGATTTGCAATTCAAACTAGACAGGTGAATTCATGATTATTCGATAATGCGCGTTAAAGATTCTTATAGTGAAAATAAATAAATAAAATCTAACTTTAAACGCAGGTTGCATTGGATTATATCGGTAAGAGAGCAACGTCCCCTGGTACCCCTCTAGAGAAGCGTGTTTCGTAAGTAATATTTTCATTTGTTTGACACTCGATTTCAAGGTTATACTTTAACAAGAAAATTTTGTTCTAAATAGGCAAGCTAAAAAGATCATTGAAAAAGAATTCCTTCCACACATTGGGGATACATATGGTTTCGAAAAGCAAAAAGCACATTTTTTAGGATATATGGTTCGTCGACTTGTAATGTGCGCACTGGGAAGGAAGGAATTAGATGACCGAGATCATTTCGGAAAAAAGAGACTTGACCTTGCTGGTGCCTTATTGTCAAATTTATTTAACAATCTCTTTAGAAGGATGGTCAAAGATATGACTACTCATATAAAGAAGGTTTATAAGTTAACCCTTGATAAACTTTTGTTATTAATACGCTACATTATTTTTACATATTCTTTTTTTATAGATGCTCGCTGATAAACGTGAAATTAATCTTGAGATGATCCTTAAGCCCCAGACCATAACAAATGGAATGAGGTATTCACTGGGAACCGGTAATTGGGGCGAATCGAAAAGGGCAATGCAGGTAATCAAATTTGTGCATTTTCAATATAAATGAAATGAACAATATTAATTTCAACCTTTCTGCTTCGTTTAATCCTTCAACAGTCAAGATCCGGTGTTGCCCAAGTATTAAATAGATTCACGTATGTGTCCACATTATCTCACCTAAGAAGATGTAATACACCAATTTCGCGTGATGGAAAAGTCACCAGGCCGCGTTATCTGCACAATACCCATTGGGGCTACCTCTGTCCATCGGAAACTCCTGAAGGACAAGCATGTGGACTCATGAAGAACTTAGCCTTAATGGCATATATTTCTGTGGGTACACCAACAAGCATAATAGTTGAGCATATCAATGCAACTGGAATGATGGATTCTATTGGCTTTCAAACTGAGATGCGACAAGAGATACATTCAGCTACAAAAGTCTTGATAAATGGAAACTGGATCGGGGTCACTGATAGCGATGTGCATTTGTACAATACTTTGAAGGACCTAAAAAAAAGTGGAGATTTTCCCTTTGATGTCAGCATTGTTAACGACATTCGTTCTAAAGAAATTAGAGTATACTCGGATCCCGGAAGAATTTGCAGACCCCTGTTTGTGGTTAATGATTCAAAATTAGAAATAACGCCAGAACATGTGCGAAAGATAGAAAGAAGTGTAAGTATGCAACAATTATTAAATGTTGTTCTATGGAAATTTGACGCGTTCACAAAACGTATTTTAGAAATTGAGTGAATTAGGAGAGGAACAATATGACTGGGAAGCCTTGGTTTATGAGGGACTGATTGAATATCTAGATGCTGAAGAAGAAGAGTTTTCATTGATTTGTATGACGCCCGAAGATTTAAGAGATTCAAGAGTTCGATTTGCTTATGAGTCCATGGGCGTTAAACCTCCAATGGTCAAGCAGAACTTAGCAGAACGATCAAAAGCTCCAACCGCATATTCTGATAGGTGGACGCATTGTGAAATTCATCCAAGCATGATATTAGGTGTTTCTGCTAGTCTTATCCCTTTTCCCGATCACAATCAAGTAAATACCTAAATTGAGTTTGTTCCTTATTTCGAGGTAAAATATGTGATCATCCTGCCCTATCGTTCATTTTTTTTTTAGTCTCCCCGAAACACGTATCAATCTGCTATGGGAAAACAAGCTATGGGAATATATGCTACTAACTACCAGTCAAGAATGGATGTAATTGCAAACATACTTTACTATCCACAGAAACCTCTTGTGACCACAAAGGTCATGGAATACCTTAAATTCCGTGAATTGCCTGCTGGCCACAACGCGATTGTTGCAATACTTTGCTATGAAGGCTATAATCAAGAGGATTCTATAATCATGAATCAGGGCAGTGTTGATAGGGGTATGTTTAGGAGTTTCACTTTTAAAAATTATCAAGAAAATGACAAGCAAAAGGTATGTTACCTTTATCCTTGTTTGTTAATATAATTATAAGTGGGTTTTGATTAATAAATATATTAGGGAATGTTGAAATTCGAAGAGATTATGAAACCGACTGTTGAGAATACTGTTGGATTGCGACTTGGCAGTGCTGATAAACTCGATGTAGATGGAGTTGTCGCACCAGGAACGTCAATGGCAGAAGGGGACATTATAATTGGTAAAACTACTCTCCTCACTCCCCAAAACGCAATGCCCGGTCAAAAAGTAGATGATCAAACCTATCGTAATATATCAACAACACTGAGGCGTTCCGAAACAGGATTCGTGGATCATGTTGTGATCACTTCAGACCAAGATTCCATGAAATCCGTCAAAGTTAGAGTTAGAAATACACGTGTTCCCGAGATGGGAGGTATAGTCAATAATTTATTTGCATAACGAAAGTTCGTTAGGGTATTAATTACGCGTCAAAAATTTAATATTTGTTATTGTAGATAAATTTGCAAGTAGGCATGGTCAAAAAGGAACCATTGGAATCTTATATCGCCAAGAAGATATGCCCTTCACTTGCGATGGCATAATTCCTGATATCATTATCAATCCACACGCCATTCCTAGCCGAATGACAGTTGGTCACTTAATCGAATGCTTGCTAGGAAAGGTAAATTAAAATGTCTCACTTCCAAAAATTAAAATAATATAATAACGATTCACTATATAATCTACACTATATATATATTCCTTCTAACAGCTAGTTGTCATTACTGGAAACGAAGGTGACTCTACGCCTTTCACGGATGTAACCGTAGAATCCATTTCATCAAAGCTTAAAGAATTGGGCCATCAATCTTATGGAAACGAAGTAATGTATAATGGATATACAGGAAAAAAATTGAGAACTTATGTTTTTATTGGTCCAACTTATTACCAACGGTTGAAACACATGGTGCATGATAAGATTCAGTAGGTGTAATCGACTGATATCAAACCAATGTCAAGAATGTTCACACTGATCGATCGTCCTTAATAGTTCTCGCTCACGGGGTCCGCTCAACATTTTGACTCGGCAACCAGTTGAAGGACGTTCTCGCGAGGGAGGATTGCGCTTCGGCGAAATGGAGAGAGATTGTATGATATCACATGGAGCTTCATTATTCTTAAAGGTATTTATTTTAAGACGAATATTTTTATAATATCATGGAATTCATTCTTATACAATTCGATTTGTTTTTTCATTTACTCTTAAATAGGAAAGGTTGTTTGATGTTTCGGATCCTTTCAGCATCCATGTGTGTGATCTATGCGGTTTAATGGCAATTGCAAACCCCTCAAAAGGAATTTACGAGTGTAGGATTTGCAAAAACTCTATAAAGGTAGAAACTTATGTTTTTATCACGTTTGAATGTAATATATCATTCTAAATCAGATATGTCATGGTGTCTACTTCCATAGGTTTCCCAAATTGAGATTCCTTATGCATGTAAAATGCTATTCCAAGAATTGATGTCCATGAACATTTCTCCAAGATTGTATTTGGAAATTTAAGATAGTAAGTAATGGTCTTACTGTATTTATTCTTAAGATTATTCTACAGCACTTTACTAGTAGTGATTTATCTTAGCTTGTATACTACTTTGGTCGTTACAATTTTAGTGATAGGATCAGAAAAGACTTACGTATTAGATCAAGTAAGACAAAATAAGAACAGTAATTAATTTTTCTTAGCGTCTTTGTTTGAGAATCTTGAGGTTTTGTCTTTTGCACAACAGGACTTAAGTGGCGCAACAATGGCTGGAAATATGAATTTTAATAGTAATAGTCCTAGAAACAGGTCAATTTCGAAGTGATAATTACAATATATACAAATCTATTATGTATGATTTTTTGTTTAAGGAAAAAATGTTATATACTGTATATGCAGCATATAGGTAATTGTTTATTGAAAATTATCAATTAAAAGTTTTCAGTAAATGCATTGTAATAATGTACTGTTAAATTTTTAATTTTCCATAATTTTTTTTTGACATAAAATTAACTAAATATAAAATCCAATTAATCAATTATTTTATTTTATTTGATTTTATTATTTTTGTTAGTTTTACTTCTTATATTGTATTAATGTGCACATATACAGTAGAGATCAAAAATAATTAAAAAAATCAAATTCTTATTATTAATTAATTAATTAAAATAACAGTATATTGCTTGAGATATTATTGATAAGTTTGTTTCTACAGAGGCCTATCATATTATTGTGGACACTTTTATTTTTTAAATAATAAAAAATTTTATTAATAAATAAATTTT